TTGCATACATTGGAAATTTTAAATTCGAAATTTGTTGAAGTTAATGGTGATACGCTAACCACAAAGCCTAATTTTTTGCAAAATCTGATGAGAAATTTGAAAGTAAATTTTCACGAATCACGAATTTCATGTGAAAAAATATTCCCAAAATTATAAAGTAAAATAAAAATACTTTTTCCAATTTGTTTTTGTTTTGCATGTTAAATTATGAGAACAATTTACTCACATGGAATTGGCGATTATAAAGGGATTTATTGAGAAAGACAATTTTTTAGAATTACATTTTTAAATTGCAACATAATAACAATATAACAACAACAACATAATGCTTTCGTGATTTTTATTATAAAATAAAAAGAACAATTTCAATGAAGTCTCCTTTAACATTACATATTTTATATATTTTTAATAAAAAAGGTGCGAACCACGTAAGTAAAAAAATTACCAAGCACTGATAATGGTTTTTCATTTGAAGTATTATTAAATTGATATAAATGTGGGAAAGAAAAGACTCCGATTTATTGTTTTAATATTATCAAAGCGGCAAGGCCGTTGAGAATGCTCACAATTTATGAAACTTCAAAAAATTTTATTAACCGTCAAAAGTTGTTTATTGAAACTACCTTCTTTTTTGTATCATGTTATAAACGGATTTTTGGAAATGTAAATTCGCCTTGGTATCGGCTTTTGAATATATGTGTCAAGACGAATTTATATAAGGTGATAGCAGGAGTACAAAAACAAAACCTTACATGTATTTTGTTTTTGCTTTGGCGGCATAAACTGTCAAAATCTGTAAGAGTGTGTGTGGAAATTCAAACCAAATTTTTCAATTTGACATAAGAAGCCGTGAGGCGAAACACGTACACAAAATCAGCTGATCTGTTAACACGACCTTATATAAATTCGCCTTGATATGTGTGTATATTTTCTAACATAAGTACATACATATTAATTTACAGTATATTTCAATACAATTAGGTACAATACAAGGCGGATTAATATAAGGTGATAGTAGGAGAACAAAAACAAAAATTTACATGTATTTTGTTTTTGCTTTGGCGGTATAAACTGTCAAAATCTATAAGAGTGGGTGTAGAAATTCAAACAAAATTTTTCAATTTGATATCAGAAGCCGTGCGGTGAAACACATACACAAAATCAGCTAGTAACACTACTTTATATAAATTCGCCTTGGTACAATAATTCTTTAAGATAAACACAAACACAAATTTCGCTTTTATGGATTTAAATATTAAAAACACGAAGTTTAGACTCACGTAAGAGGTTACTTATACACATATCGCACACGATCTTCAAAAGTGACGCAACTCAAAATTTGGCATTTTTGAAATTATGCATTAAAATTGTACACTGGAGCTGGAGCAAATTTTTGTAATAAATTGTTGAAAAAACCTAAGGTAAAGTCTTCCTTGCCCATATGATTAGCATTGTGCTAAGGAATAGTTTTTCGCATTTTCTGACGAACGTGTAATTTTGAGTTGTGAGATGATGAATACATAGTCAATATATAGCACGTTTAATAATAGGTTTATTCCACACGAGCCCGCGGGATCTCGCGGGTGCCCAAAACAGCCCAGAAAGCGTTTCTCACGCTAGAAAAATGGGTAAAAGAGAGCGAATACTCTCCACTTTTGAATCGTGAAGGTCTTCTTCTTCGTTCCCGAAACAGGCCGGACTTTTTTCCGGGCAGAAATGTCCAAGAAGTCAATATTAAATAACAGTTGTTGTTTGTTTACATCCGAGCGCAAATTTTGTAAAATATCAAAATGGAAAATAGCAGTAAAGTTTCAGAAATGTAGGTATTTGCTAATTTTATTAGCCATATAAGATAAATACACATAAAATCATTGTTTAGAGCTGATTTGTTGATTCCGGGCACGAAATGTGGTTTTTTGCATTCCTCACTCTCTGAGCACTTTTGGTACGTGTTGACTTATTTTTAACACTTGTGAGAGAATAACTTATTTTTACGCTCTAATTACCGAAATAGCTCGGAAAGCGTGTGGAACAAAGCTAATATAAGGAAAATTTTCAAATTTTGAAATTTGTGGGAAAACGCAATCTAAGTTTGATCAATTAATACAGTTGGTATACCAAAAGACAGATGGAAAGACACATATCTTCGCCATTTTTGGGAAGTTTAGTCATCTGTTAGGCTCAACATATTCTCCTCATCAAACTTTTTAATTGTATTATGAAGTTTCCAAGAACGTAAAATTTTAATTAATCTCTATATTATTAAACGTGCGATATCAGTTTTTCCTTACTACCAAGCATTAGTATTATTTATTGGAAACATGGCTTTTTCCACTATTTGCAAGATTGAGTGGAAATAGTCTTTAAGCCATTAATATTAATTGAGTGGAAATTTTGCCAGCTCCAATATCACTAGGCATGGAGTGGAAAGCATTGTGCACTACCACTAGAAATAATAGTGGTAGTGAGAACACTGATTTTTTCCACTAAAAATGTTTGTTCCAAAAAAAAAAATTGCTCCACTATCGCTATAGTAGTGGTAGTTAAAAGCAACGTGCACTAGTGATGGCACGATTAATCGAATAACCGATTATAGTTGGTTACTTTCATTCGGTTAACGATTTAATTGTATCGAAACTTTCCCTTCGATTAATCGAGCGATTAACCGATTAATTTTCAAAATAATCGAAAATAAACCATCGAAAATTGACACATCACATCACACAATAATGTATGAGTAAAAATTACGTTACA